TATATATATATATATATATATATATATAATATAAAGTTAGTAATTAAGATTTAAATTAAAAACAATTAGCCGATTTAACGATATAAATTTAAAAACCATATAAAAAAACCAAAACTTTGTGACGTTTTCATAACTTTTCACGTTTTCAACACAACGCTAAAACTTTAGTTTTCACGTCCGGCCTAGAACTTTAAAACGCAACTTGGGCTTTACCCTGAGCTCACGCATGCGCATTATCAATATTTTGTCTTCAGAGGTTGCGGTTGCAGTTGGCGTTTTGATTTCGTAAAGTCGCTACTGTATATAGCACCACCCAAGGCAAAATACAACAAAAACCTATGCCACAAGTTTTGTATAATTTTGATATACAGAAATTATTTTATTTTATCAAACTCTGTAAACTAAAAGTTTGTGATAATAAAACTCAGGATAAAAAAACTTTTCCTACACTTTATTAAACATGAAAATATAAACACTGAAAATGAATTTGCGAGATAATGTGTAAACAACAAAATTTGCGAGATTAGATGTAACCAACAAAAACCAAATCTAAAAACAAAACTTTTTCTTTGATTTCTTAGTTACACTAATTCATCTTTCTTTGATTTAAAGGTGGGAAAGTCTTTCCCTATGTATCATTTTTGTTCTAACAAATCCATCACTTCTTTCTTATTATGAAACCTATTATATAAAAAAATTTCTAAAAGTCAAACAAAAACAACAAGAATAAAAGATCCATTACCCAAAGAAATCTTTGTTAAAATTTTTTTAACAACACTCATACTTAAAAATAAATTATATGATTATCAATACAAAATTAAAATAGAATAACAAAGGCAGGGCCGTAGGAACAAAAATTACATTGGGGGGGGGGGGGGCTAGTACTACGTCAAAATAGTTTTAAGGAATTTTTTTTTTTAGTCAATATCTTCAAAATTATTTATTTGAAAAATTATTGAAGAGGCAAATGTCCCTGCTGCCCACCTGGTTGCTGCGGACTTTCAAAGGTACAATTATTGATTTATTTCCATTTCTATAAAATTATTGATTTATTTCCATTTCTATAAAATCACTAATTCAATCATATATATTACAACTTTTCATCCTTTGAAATTTTCATTCCTACTATTTTAATTTTATAAAAATATGTTACAATGCTATTCTTACTTCTTCAGTTGCCATTACCTTTAACATTTACATTGAAACTCTTTTTAAACAATATTAATTGCATGTACCATGATATCAAACTCTTAATCACCATGGCTAACAATTGATATCCTTTCTCTAATTTAGTAAACACACAATTAAAATTACGTTATTATATAAATGTATTCTATCGCTATGTAATAATATATTATTGTACGTGTATTTACAAAGTTATAAAACAGATATTAAACTTTATTATATTATGATATAATCATATAAAACAGATATTAAACGTTATTATATTATGATATAATCATTTAAAACAGATATTAAACGTTATTATATTATGATATAATCATATATGATATCAAAATCATCAATGATCATAATCAAAATAATATAACGCGATGAAAATTTACTTACTATACCAAGTTACAAATACTTACAAAATATGAGTTGCAAACATAATTTTATGTTGCACTTATAAAGCATTTTATGATTGTATATCTAATTTGTTTCACAATATATTCTAAAAAATATATAGGGTAGATTAGGGTAATATGAGCACCTTGGTAAAATGAAATATTTAAAAAAAAAATAAAGCACCTGGTGCAGATGAAATAAACGGAAATATTGTTATAGATTGCTACGAACAATTAAAAAATATTCTTTTTAAAATTTTCAGAGCATCTATTCATCAAAGTATTTTTCCTGAATGTTTAAAACTTGCCAGGGTTACCCCTATCCATAAAGAAGGCGACAGATCCAATATCAGTAATTATCGTCCCATCTCTGTTCTTTCTATATTTTCTAAAATTTTAGAAAGAATTATCTTCAATAGGGTATACAATTATTTTAATTACAACAACTTACTTTATAACAATCAGTATGGTTTCAGAAAAGGGAGTTCAACTGAACATGCCATTATTCAATTAAACACCTAGTGTATGTTGAAAAATCCCAACATACACTAGGTGTTTTTATTGACCTATCAAAAGCTTTTGATACGGTCAATCATAACATTTTAATCCAAAAAATAAAACATGGTTTAAACAATAGAATCTTAAAATGGTTTGAAAGCTATTTAACAAATCGAAAACAACTTGTTTATAGTAATAATGATCAGCAAAGTGAACCCCTGAGCATAACCTGTGGTGTTCCGCATGGTTCTATTCTCGGACCACTACTATTTTTAATCTATGTAAACAACTTAAACAAAGCTTCCAAATTGAAAAGTATAATGTTCGCTGATGATACTAATCTTTTCTTATCCCACACTGATATTTATGAACTCTTTTCAACTACAAACAAAGAACTAAATCACATTTCTAATTGGTTCAAAGCTAATAAATTAACTTTAAGTATTAACAAAACAAAATGGATTATCTTTCACTCCTGCGCAAAAAACGTTTTTTACCAAGTAATATGCCTCAAATTTATATTGAGAAAACGATAATAAAAAGAGATACTGTTATAAAATTCTTAGGTGTTTACCTTTATATAAAGGTAAACACCTAAGAATTTTATAACAGTATCTCTTTTTATTATCGTTTTATCAGTATCTCTTTTTATTATCGTTTTATTATCATTCTATTATAATAGAATGTTTTTTGTTTGATTGTTTACAATTTCAATCGTTAAAATTTCTTTATTCTCGTTAGAAACACTCAAATCATTCCTAACGTAATGCATTATGTTCTTTTTCACGTAAATAAAAATTCCACCATATTTGTTTGCCTATCTTGAGATATTAATTTAAAATGAGGATAGTTAAAATTTGAACTATTTTTTAGGTCATTTATAGTTATCCATGTTTCTGTTAAGCAAAGTATATCAAAAATATTTTTAGTTTCTTCTAATAAATTAAGTAGATTTTCAAAATTGCGATTTAAGCTTCTAATATTTACGTGAAGAATTTTAATTTTATCGCTTGCTTTTACATTATCCTTCAAAAGAAACTGCTAATTCACTTGGATAATAATATGAACAACCACTGTGCAAATCACAATAATAGTTAGTGTCGGGATCTGAGAATTCATTTGAGATGCAATCTATTTTAGAAAAATTAAAGATTTGGTTTTCAAAATTATTAAAGCCGCTCATTTTTAACGAGTGTATCTATAGAAGGGTTTCTTTTGATAAAAACTTATTTGTTGAGTTCTCTGCAATAGATCTTATCGAACTTTAAAATAGCAGGAGCGGATCTAGCTTTTTTTTTGAGGGGTGCTGGCAAATATGTGTTGTGCTGCGACGATGAGGGGGTGTTTTCATTACCCCCCCCCCCCCCGCGCTTTGCGTTGCATGAAAGGAGTTGGATGTAAAAAAGGTTTTTATAAAGTACGGGGAGGGGAATTTTTTTCCGACCTCCCGGAGCTTATTAGGATCCCAATCCCCCCCCCTTGATTATTAATTTGAAACAATATAAAATATTTTTGCTATTTTTTTACTTTGAAAAAATATTTCTCTCAATAATAGATGAAAATATGAATAACCAACCAAAAAAACTATTTTAAGCTTTTTAAAATTCCGACCCTTCGGTTTATTAAGAAAACCCCTCTCCCCCGTTTATTATAATTTAGAAAAATTTCCGACCCTCCTATTTATTAGAGTACAGTGCGAAAGTAATTTTGTGTACATAAAAATATTTTGTATGCAAAGTAATGCAGCAACTATATATTGGCAGTGATCGACCGTTATATAAAGAATCAATCAATAATGATAGAATAATTTCATGACCCCAAACAATGAACACACAATTTGTTTATTATTCGTGTGACATTTAACATAAACTAGGAATAGCATAAGAATTGAACAGTAAAACCCAGTTTTAAAATGTTAAAAGTAAACAAATTTCTTACCCTAACTGTGCTAAATTTCCTTTTCTAAACTGTTAGCTTATGACCAATAAAGTAAATTTCAAATCATGAAACTTTACTAAATTAAAACCATATTTCAACAGTAGGAAAACTAAAATAAAATAGTAAAATAGTTACAAAATGAAGAACTGATAAAAAAAACTGTTAATAAAAATCTAGTTTCAATGGAACTCAAAATTTGCTTCTAATATGATCTTTAAACAGAAACTTGAAAATAAAACAAGTAACCATCTAGTTTAACTTCTAAAAACACCTGTGTCATGCACATTATGTTGCAATTATAACACAATTGTATTAAAACTCACTATTAAAAATAATTAATACTATGATATATAAAATATATAATTATACACGATAATTATTTATAAATTATAACAAAAATAATAACAATAATAATAAACTCTTACACTAAATACATCAATAATAGTGAATAGATTTAATAACATTATATAACACTGTTTATAAACAAAATTATGTAACAGTAATAAAATAAATATTCTGAGTTTCATGATATTCTGGAGCCATTTATTTTCCAAGGATATTCCCCAAAAATATAAATAAAAATGTAAGAACAGACTTATTTTTAAATCCAGTTATAATTTAACTTTATTATAATTAAACTATAATTATAACTATCAATAATGCTAATTTATTAATAATGAAAACTTTATAATTATGTCTGATAACTCAAACTTTTACTAAGTCAGCTTTTCAATTCCTATTGAGATTTCTATACATAACGAGAGCTTCCCCTAACTCTGACATTCGCCAAGTTTGATTATTTATCTATTTCCCTTGAGAATCAGACTTAACAAGATTCTACTGTATATATTTTTTGAAGTATAATTTCATGCTTAAAAAATACAAAAAAAACTTTCTAGAACTTTCAGAACTTTCTAGGACCACTATTTAAATTACTCAACAAAATATATAAAACAGTAAATAATATATTTATATTATATTATTAAATAAAACAGTTTAAATTGGATCAGAATTTAAAACATCTACAAGTTTCATTCTACGAGGATTTTTCCTAGCAAAACAATCAATCACTTCATTTACATCGATGCTGATATCTTGGTGAACGTGCATTAAAGCAAGACTATTAAATCTATTCTGTGACATTGTGTTACGTAGATAGGTTTTTAAACGACGAATAACAGAGATTGATCTTTCGCAAGTGCATGTTGTTACTGGAATAGTTGCAAGAATTTGAATTAAGGTAAATATATTAGGAAAAGTTATTCTATCAATAAGAGGAAGGAGTTTGGTCAGAGTAGTAGGAAGGGAATTTTTAAAGCTACGCCAATAATCTTCCCACATGTTCAATTCGGTCATGATATACCGTGGTTCCGGAAGTTCATCCTCATACTCATTTAAAAAAAGAAGAAAGTTGCTTCTCCATTCAGCAACATTTAAAACGTTAGTTGGCATTGCAAAGAATCCATTATAAACAGCAATGTTTTTATTAGAAAAACGTAATTGAATCTGGGATGATAAATGGTCAAGAAAAGGAATTGTAATGACTTTCTTGTAATACTCATTAATAGATTCACTAGGACAATTATTTCAATTAAGCTGTTTTCCTATTGTACGAGGCTTGTGCTCATAAACACCAACACTAGCTGCCAATACAACTGCCTCACTATACCAAGCACCATGACTGTGTTCAATGTCTGATCTTAGTCGCTGTAAAGCAAGATGTAACAAATTTATTTTTTCATGCGATGCAAAAACATCAAAGTTTGGAGATTGAAATTGTTTTGTAATTGGTCTTGTTACTTCCAAACAGCGAGACACCACTACTAAAGTAACAAGAAACTGAAAAGATCTAGAAGCAAAGAAATAACTATTTGCATCACGCACTGAGTCATGATTCCAAGACTTTTCATTGTTATTAATCATTAGCTCAAAGCATTTAATTATAGCAGGAAGTACCTCTATAAACACATCTAAACCATCAATTCTGGCAATCCATCTTGTACGACATACATCTATTAAACGAGAGTGATGAGCTTTTGGAAACATTTCTTCAATTTTTTTTTCAGAACATCAAAACGCTTTGGACTAAAATTAAAGAACTGAGATATAACACAAACATTTGACATCATATTGCTAACTATCTGTATGTTACAGGCATTTGCAACACAAAGATTGAGGACATGAGATCCACAATAAACATATAATGCTTTTGGATAAATAGCTTTTATTCTTACTGCAGCACCGGAACAGTTCCCAGCCATGTTCCCAGCACCGTCATAACCTTGACCAACACAAAATTTCATTTCTAATCCCAAATCTTTAATACTATTCAAAATTTGGCTGCCTATTGCTTCTCCAGACAAGCCTGAGTCGCAAGGAATAAAACCAAAAAATAGTTCACAAATTTCACAATTATCATTTACAAAGCATAATACAAGTGGCATTTGTTCCATATTGCTCACATCAGATGCTTCATCTGCTAGTATTGAAAAAAATTTAGCCTTTTTAACTTCACATTTCAATTTAGAAATTATTATGTCATTACAAATATTAATCAACTCATTTTGAGTAGTTTTAGAGCGATATGTAGCATTTTTTAGAGTAGAAATTCGCCCATTCATAAACTGTTTTCTGCACAATCAGATATTAATTTCAAAATTGATTGAAGATTGCCAGAGTTACTATTTTCATTCTCATAGTAAAATGAATCATCTCTGTGACCTCGGAGAAGTATGTTTTGTTTTCCACACATAATAATTGCCAGAACTATTGGTTTTAATATTTCTCTATTTTTCTTGACTTGTTCATCAATTACTTTGTTGAGATTTAAGTCAATAAAATTTATCTTTTGCTCCATACATTGGCGAAAATGAGTTGCCTTTAGAGTTGCAGTTTGGTGAATTGGTGAACTTTCAGCATGTTTGTTAAACTTATTAATGGCCTTTGAATATGCCACAAATGGAGATTTATAAAGCTGAACAAGTTTACTTGCATTATGACTTGATTCTTCAGATCCAAAAATAACACAATTAACACAATAAGCACCTTTTTTAATTTCTGCAAAATATGCAAGCCAAGAGTATAATGAGAGCCAAGAGAATTGAAAGGAACGACCTGATTTATTGGATTCAAAATGAAAACTAGAGCTTGGTTTATAAACATTTTTTAGTAAATCATACTTATCTTCATTGCCTAGTTTATTAATTCCATAAGTTTCATAGAGCGCGATATCGTATTTGTTTACAAAAGATAGTTCACATTTATTTCCAAAAGCAGAACTACTTTTAGAGTTTAAATTTGCTTTAATCGGTGAGTGTATATATTTTGAAGAACATTCTGCAATCGATAATGTAGTAGAACTTTTTAATTTGATTGGCGAAGATACAACACAAATTTTTTTGTCTGTAGGAAAAGGTGACTTAATAGCAAATTGATCAATTGTGAGTTGTTTTCTTTTTTTAAAAGTTGAAAGAATTTTAACTGAATCTAAAATATCTGTTTCCTGAGTAGAATCAGAAAACAGGATACTAGATTTCAAAGAAGTAAGTTGATTAATTTCAGATAATTTTACTACTTTAGGTGCAAATATATTAGGAGCTTGGTATTTTTTAGGAATACATTTTAAAGATATTAAAGGAACAAAGTGATCTTTGTTTATAAATATATTAGAGGTCTGTTTAAAACCTGCAATAACTGAAGAGCAACGAAGAATGTGTATTTTTTTTACAGATGTGCTTAAAGAATGTTCAACACGTGGTCTAACAGTGCAATTCAACAATATTTCATAAACAGTTTTTTCTATTTCTTTTCTATAGGATAATATGATTCAATTGGTATTCCAACAACACTTGAGAGAGCACACAAAGTAAGAAACGAGGAATAAGAAAAATTTGTTGCAATATTGATAGATTCTGATATGACACTGAGTGTTTTATTATTTTTACAAAAAGAATTATATGCTTTTTGGGAAATAATAATAGAAAAAGCTGTGTTTTCATCAATTCTTCGAGATTTGGTAACATCAGTTTGAGAAAAAATAATTGGATGGTTTAAATAAAAACCTACATTTGTATATAATTCGATACTGGTCAGGCATCTAAGGTATTCTGACAAAGATTCGTTGCCAATCAATGATATAGAACAAGCATTAAATAAACAGTTTCTGTTTGGAGAAGTTCTAATAATAAAAAAAAAAATTAATATAAGCGAAGCAACATAATTTATGTTATGTCACAAAATAATTATTACATAATTTTATATCATAAAATTACTTACTAGTAAATGATTTACTAAATGTAAATTTGGTATTATTCAAACATAAAAAAAATTATAACATAATTGATTATTTTCTCCTTGAAATATGATATTATATTAAATATGATATTATATACTTTTTTGTATACTTTTTTTTTTAGTAAAATTGTGTTCATGCTTAAGTATATATACTTAAGGATGAACACAATTTTACTTAAAAAAAGTTTTTTAAATTTAAGCACCTAGAACAAAATTTTACACATCTTTCAGCTTAAATAAAAAAGTTTGTAGTAAAATATTAGGCACAAAAAGCTATAGTATAGCTTTTTGTATATCCTATAGTATAGGCTAAACAAAATGTGTGTGTGTGTGTAGGCTATACAAAATATGTGTGTGTGTTGTGTTAATTAATGGTTAAAATAATAGCAAATTAAGAAATCATTAAATGATTTCTTAATTTGCTATTATTTTAATCATTAATCAACACAACACACACATACATAAACACTTCGTTTGTTTTTGGTTTTTTTAATTTAATATAATTATTTAAGAAACAACTCACTGGTTGTTGGTTACCTCACTGGTTGAAAATCATTTTCTGGTCGAAATGATTGAGATACGGGAAACTGCATACTTGAAACTTTGCATATTTTATTCAATATACTTACTTTAGATTTTTCATTAAACAAAAATATTTCTCTAATCTTATTATGAGCTTCGATAATAACATTAGATAAAAACGATTCCTTTTCTGATTGAACCCTATTTTCATCTAAAATACATTTTAAAATGATTCGAAGCATTGAATCCGCCATGTTTAGAACACTTTAACAAAAAGCTTAGTGAAAAACCTTTTTTCTGATTTTTGCGTGATTGGCTTGCACCCTTAAGAGATCTTTCTGATTGGGTCAGCACCCCTCAGAACCTGTTTTGATTAGCTTAAGAAACCAAGCCAATCAAAAATAGCTTTTGAGGGGTGCAGGCCAATCAAAAATAATTCTGAGGGGAGCAGGCCAATGAAAAAGCGACTATACTGGAGTTTCCTAGTCGAAGCATAAGTATACACAAAATACGCAAGCGCTGAACGCAAAGTATTACACAACAACAAAGATATTTATTTATTTTTGACTTCCTTCACAAAAAATGAAATCGCAAATTTTGAGTTATATAAACTATTTTAACAATTCAATTTTTATTTATAAAAAAAATGCAACGAAATAAGAAACTTTACTTGTTAAAAGTTGACGGGTGCTGGAGCACCCTTTGAACCACTCTGGATCCGCCCCTGAATAGCATACTTACCTTCTTTACGTAAGTTTAGTACTTCACTCCAGAGTCTTTTTCGCGTTTCGATTGTTTCTTTAGCAAAATCTTCGTTGCTAAAAATACCAGTTCCACGTAAATTTTTACTGTTAAAGAGAATTCTTTTTTTATTGTTGTAATTTAACAGTTTTATGAAGATTGTTCGGTGTTTGTCTACTTTTTTTGGACCTGAACGATGAGCTCGTTCAATTATTATTTCGTTCGGGATTTTTAATTTTTTTGAAAAAATGTCTTTCACAATTTTTTCACAGTCATTCCAGGTTTCACCAGGTAATTCATTTACACCTTCAATCCTCAGGTTGTTTCTTCGTGAACGATTTTCGAGATCAACCAGCTTCTCACTTATGTTTTTAATGGCATTTGTTTCTTTTATAGATTCAAAACGTTTCTGCTCATAAAGATGTTTAATTTCACTTTCTGTCCGTTTATTTATTTCTGCAATCTTTTGTTTAGTTAACTCTTCTTGGAAGTTAAGACTCTCTTTTATTTCTTCTAGGTCCTTTTCGATATTAGAAGTTTTTATTTTGTTTGTAGATAGATCGAGTTCTAATTTATCCAACCTTTCAGTAAAAACCTTTCCGTAAACCATTTACGGAAATTCCATGCCAATCTCAGTAAAAATCCAGATTTAATTTACGGCAATATCTTTACACTATATGGAACCTGTCAATTTCCAACCTAAATTTCAGTTATTCCGTCATAGTCACAGTTAATCCCGTCTGGAACCTAGTTGGAATGGTTAATTGAACTGGCCGTCGATGTTGTGCCAACGCAACTCGCAATATTGTTCAAACATTTTACCAACGTATGTGTGTAACCTGGGTCACGAATACATTTATTTTTTTTATATTAACTTCTTTTTTTTTTTTTTTAATGCTTCATGTTTTTTTGTATAAATATATAAATACAAATAATATTTCAATATCAATATAAAAGATTGGCCGGAGCAAGAAGAACCACAATTTGTCTCCGAAAATTTATTGTAGAAGATAAATCATTGCGTAAGTTATATATAATTGTTATTAATATACATAAAATAAGACTTTCATTTTGAAAACTATGAAAATATCAAAAATTTTAAACACTTTTTAAATGATCCATTTTTAAATATAGCAAACAATATTTATTAAATTTGTATTAAAATAATAAAAAAGTTCGTAAAAAAAAAAAAAAAGAAAAAAAAAATTTTAAATAGCGAATTTTTTTATTTTATTACAAATTATATGTTGTAATACAAGTTATATGTTGCACAAATTTATTTTTATATATTTATTTATTTATTACTATTTTATCTAGGAAAAATTGTAATAAATAAATATATAAAAATAGTAATAATTAAATATATAAAAATAGTAATAAATAAATATATAAAAAAAGTAATAAATATATAAAAATAGTAATAAATAAATATATAAAAATAGTAATAAATAAATATATAAAAATAGTAATAAATAAATAAATATATAAAAACGTATTTGTACAACATATAACTTGCAATAAATTTACACGTAACAACTTTTCTTTTGAAAAAGTAAAATAAAAAGTTACTAAGTATAAAAAAAACAAACTAAAAAACAATTAAAATTATTAGTCAAAAGCAAAATCGATAGGGACCTGAATCTCCATATACAAATATATATATATATATATATATATATATATATATATATATATATATATATATATATATATATATATATATATATATATATATATATATATATATATATATATATATATATATATATATATATATATATTAAGGATGATTTAACCAAAGAGATACGTGGTTGACAAAGATAAATTTTTAAATAAATGGAAATATCTGCAGTACCCAGATAACTTCAAAAGAAGTCACATACTCCGTCACTAAACAGAAGCATTTGCTTCAATTTTGCTTTGAATTCGTTTAGAGTTTCAAAGGTTAGTAAAAGTAGACGGCGCGGCTCCGCCGGTTACTAATAACGGTAGCAAAACTGACTAATGCTAGCCAACTAATAACCGGCTTCAATTCCGACGCTACCCAAATGTTAATTCGAGTAATTTTTTTTTTTAATATTTATATGATAGGCTGTCTGCCCAAACCAAACCCTCAGTGGATGTAGCAGCACTTCGTTGCGAATCCGGCTATTTGTCAGTCAATGTAGCAACACTCCGTTGCGAGTCAGACTATTTGTCAGCCCCACACCCCGCCGCTTTTTAGACACCCCCAGTTTCAAGAGCTTTAATTTTATTAGAAAGAATTTTATTCCATATTTTTGGTCCTCTAATTTATATTGAAAACTTTCGGAGATATTAGTGTTGTTTGATTATCTCGTAAGTATCTGTGCTTATTTATTATAATCAACGAATTAAAAATGTAAAGTGTTATTTTTATATTAAGTTTGAACATAAAAATTAAAAGATGATAAATGTTTAGCTGGTAGACATTAAGTATATTCATCTTCATAAATAGTTCTTTGGAGTATGTAAAGCGGCCTATATTAGATAATATTCTAACTTCATGTTTTTGTTTATTAAAGAGTTTTTTATTATTTTCATTTATTTGTGTTACACCCAGCCACCCTACGCTCTTCAGCCATGTTTGCGTTAATTCAGATAACAATGAATAAAGAAGAAATTTTAAATTAGTTTGATTTAAAAGAGGCTTCGCTTCATAAATCAGGCTAATATTTCTTGAGATATTTTCTTCTAGATAATGTATATGATCTGTACTAGCAATATTTCCATAATTCAATTTTAAACAAGGTTCAATTTTAGGACCCTTCTTATTTTTAATTCATATTCATGATTGAAGCAAATTGTGTAATTTACAAACTTATTTTATTCTCATCATGATATAAAAATGTTGTTTAATTCAGTTAACATGAAACTCTTAAAATTTGCAGAATGGTTTAATGTAAATAAATTATCATTTAATTGAACTAAAATAAAGTATACTTTTTTCCATCGCTTTTATAAACGCGATAAAATCCCCTTAAAACTTCCAATACTTTGTAATGGCAGTCAAGCTATAAAAAGAGAACACTCATTAAAATTTTATAGGCGTACTTCTTGACGAATTCTAATTTTTTTTTTAATTATAATTGGGGAAGTACCGTAAGATAGAGTAACATTAGCCAAAATTTAGTCGTTTAATTTATGACTGTTTTTAAAATTCCAATTATTATAAAATCATTTTATTATTATTTTAAAGTTTTGGGTGTTCCTAACTCGTTTTCAACTTCAATTGTATACTGGATGGAAGGATGTTGTTGATTTAAAATGTATTGGAAATGTTTTGCTTGGTTGAGATCTGGAAACCTTGCGTGACTATCATCGACATATCTTAAGAACGATTTGAGGTTAAGTGCAGGGTTGAAATTTAGTGCAACTTTAATTGCATTGTTTTCATGGAATTGTAGAAATGATTCTGCAAGAACGATCATGAACGAAAGTCCAATTGGACCCGAGTTAGGAACACTAAATTATCTGGATATACAAATTATGAATAAAAAAACAGGAAAGTATGAATACGGAGTATATCGGAAAGATGCTATCACTAACATTCAAATTAAGCCACACTCAAATCATGATCTAAATATCTTGAACTCTATTTTTAAAGGATTTCTCCACCGAGCTTACTCAATCTGTAGTAAGTCTTACTTGCAAAATGAAATAAATTTTCTAATCGACGTGTTTATTGAAAATGGTTACGATAAAACTCAAATGATGAACATTGCGCACCAGTTTCAACACAAAAGACAAAATAAAATTACAATTCCATCTGAAATCAATAATTATCCTGTAGTTTCCTTACCATGGGTACCCGGTCTCTCGCCAAAACTTAGGAAAATATTCCGAAAAGCTGGTTACAGAGCGGTATTCAAATCAAACCCAAACTTAAGATTCCTGTTAACATCAAAAAATAAATCAAAACTACCTAATAACAGTCAACCGGGAACATATATAATCAAATGCAACTGTTCAAAAGTGTATGTAGGCGAAACAAAAATGAAAGTAAACACACGAATGCATCAACACCAAAAAAGCATTGATGAAAATAAGCAGCATCAATCCGCATTAGCTCTGCATAAAACATTTTGCAAAAAAGAAATTATTTGGGAACAAACAAAAACATTGAAAGTAGAAAATAAAAAATTTGAAAGAAAAGTTAGGGAAGCCCTAGAAATACAAAAAAACATGTGTTCTGCAAAAAATGGCGGGATTAATCTCGATGAGGGTCTGTCACGGAGAAAACAGTCCGCAGAGTAAATTGTCCGGCCGGACAGTTTACTCCGGAGTAGAATGTCCTAGTTGGTCCTTTCCGTCCGGTTAGGACAATTTACTCCGGAGCAAACTGTCCTACGTTGGAGTAAACTGTCCTAGGGTAAAGCGGCCTAAATCTGGCCGCGTCCTTATTCTGGCCGATTTTCAGAAGCACTAAAATATTTGATGGAGGATGGAATTGGTCTGTTTTAAATAAAAAATATATTAATTTAACCTTGTAATTTTGAAATATGTACTTTAAATTCTTATATCGACTTACTAATACTTCAGTAACATTTTAAAAGCATTTCATAAGTTTTATGTTTCCGTAAGCTCGATGTTTGCAATTTTCAAACTTGTAATGATTACATTCAAATGTAATGCGTTTGTAAATCGCATGAACTGAAAGTAATATTGGCATATAATTTTGTTAAAACTGTATATGTATTTATGCGTATTTTGTATATTGTTAAATAATTCTTTTTTATTTGAAAATTTATATGTACAATATTAAAGTATAATTTTTAGGGCGACTTATTTAATCTAGCAATATATAATTATTAAAGTGTGTGCTTGTATACTGATGTACTCGCAGTGTTATACAGTGCTTGTAAAGTTAAAAAAAAAACATGGAAAAAATAAAATAAAGAATAGCAATAGTTTTACTAAAGTTAGTATACCTGTAATAAAGCATGTAGTTCCCGGTGCAGCTTCCATAGTGGGTAAACATGCAGTGTTGACGTAACTGCTTAGCCTACAAGGTCGTGATAATTTAATAAGTGCTATGTCATTGTCAAGCGTTTGCGGATTGTAACCTCTATGTTTTATGATTTTTAATGCTGGAATATCTTCTTCTGTTCCTTCGTTAACACTTAAAGTGTGTTCTCCGGTCCTTAAATTATAAAAAAAAAAAAAAAAAAAAAAAGTGTGTTCTCCGGTCCTTAAATTCAATAGCAAAAGTAAACTTTTATTGCTTAAAATGAAATCAAAAATTTAAAAATAAAACTTGAAATATTTAACTATTTATATTCATATAATATAAAAAAGCTACAGCATAAGAATCGTGTTAAAATTCTTTTTTTTTTTAGTATAACATTGTTTAAATTAAATCAAAAATTTATTCAACAAAAATGACTGTTAAAGACGCCATACCATGATCAAACACTTTTCCATAACTTGATTGCTAGATTTTTAGAATTAGATCTTGATTTTTTTTCACCTGTATTTTACGAAACTTTATTTTTCAGCTGTATTTGAAAAAAGGCTTGTCGTTAACTTCGCTATTAGTTTTCTGGCCGTGTTAAAAATTTTAAAAAAAAAGCATATCGCTGCACTCGACTTGATGCAAGCCGAAATATTGAAACAAAATTTGCAGTTTATGTTAATAAAAAGTTTTTAAGTAAAATTATATTTTCCTCTAACATACTGTTGCTTGTCTATCGAGATTTTGCATGTAAGTCTGCTAAAAATCAACTGATTACACTCTAAGTTTATTATTTATTCCATCAATCATGAGTAAGTAACAGCTTTGAGTTAACCATATTTGAGTTAATTAACTCAATTGCTTATTAATAAGCAATGAGCAAATGTATCAAATAAATTACTACAATAAATAAACAGCAACAGCAGCAAAACAACGTTGTTATTGTTACTATTTATTTATTAACAAAAAAAATAAATAAATAAATAAAGAGATATTGTAAGAAGAAGCATTAAAAAAAAACAACAGAACTTCTCTCACCTTGTATATATTTGCGACGCGTCGAATTCTTTTCCGTGTATACAATGAGCAACAGTAAGAACCCATTCTCTGTGAATGAGTGTTCCTCCACAAAACGCTTTTCCACCCTGCCAAAGCAATACTTGCCAAGGCCACGAGCCTTTTGTTGGAGTTGTTCCTGCAATTACACGACTACTTTGAATTGATTGTTTTCCGCACCCTAAGAAAATGGCTTTAACTAAACTTGTTGCATTAAAACAATTTTCAGCAAAATAAAGAACGTTTTTTAAATATTTTCATGTTAACTATAAAAAGTAACGCTTCAACATATAACGTGGATGAAAAAGTATAGATAATGTTTGTCCATGTAATTTGTCCATTATACCAGTGAAAAAAAGCGCTTGTCCCACATGGGTTCCATGTGGGTTTCCATGTATCTACACAAAACTCATATGGAACCCATGCGATGAAAGCGTTATTTTTTTCTCTGATATTAGTTGTATGTCATAATACTACATTAAACCAATAATGTTTTTATGACTAATTATAACTATGCTTTTTTCTTTAATATTTAATCTATAACACTTTTAATCATCAAAAAAATGGTACTCTGTAAATATTTTGATATAGAGAAAAAAAAGTTTTTCAGTAACGCAACATTAATGCGGCGTTAATGACTGTTCCGTTAAGTTCCGCAAGTATTACATACATTCAATAACTTTATCGACATTGTACTAATTATTTTTTTTCGTACAAAACTGTCATTTTGTTTATAAATTGTGTATAACAACAATTGTCAAAAAATGTCAAAGCCAAAAAGTAATTTTTCTGGCTAAAAAAAGTAACATTGAAGCCGGCTTTAATATTTTGTTTAATTCGTTAACGGTTAAATTTGTCACTGGTTTTAGCTTGGTACTGTTAGCTATTGTTAGTTGATGAAAACAAAATGACCTACCTACTGGAAGAACACCAGGTATTGAACCTAAATTATAAATTAGAAAAGTTTCAGTGTCTATAGAGTTATATTGTTATTTATGTTTTCTTTACATTCGACAATTTTAAATCAAAATTTCACGATAAAAGTTTAAAGGGTAAAACTTAATTACAGTAGTTGCATGTTTGTTCGCAATATTGACTCATGAATGCAATCAATGAGGGCTGCGTGCACAATGCTTGATTTGCTTGACACCATTGCTGTGAATAGTCTGAGCAAGCTAAATAAAAAATACATGAACAGTTTGGTTTAGTTTTTACTTTTTTTACATTATTCAGTTGCTTGTTTAAAATTACATACGCGACGTTACGCTAAATAAGTACCTGAAGCCGTTGTAATTATGGTAGCCATTAATGAGAAAAAAAACAATGTTTTTATCATTTTGCAATCTTAATTTAGAGTTTTTCTATTGCGACCTTGTTTAGAGGTTTTCAAACTATTGCGATGATATTCAGTGATTTTCAATCTATTATATAGGTAAGACTTGTTTGCTCATTCTCACAAACTGTGATTTGCTCACCCACTCCCCCAAACATTGACTTGTTTGTTCATATTGCGCGTCTGCTTCGTTTTTTTTTATGTTTTTTTTTTTTTTGGTTATTAATTTATCTAATTTATTATAAATATATTTTAAAATAAAACAATAAAGCTTCAAGTAAACACCAACTCAGGTGTTAGCAGCTGTTATTTTTCTAGAAACTCAGCTCTTACATGTTTTGTAAGAGCGTGTTTCTAAGAATTATTAGATTTCTAAGAATTATTTAGTTTCTAAGAGTTATAAAGTTTCTAAAAATTATTAAAGTTCTAATTATTATTAAAAACGTATTTCGCTAACCGCGGAATTTATATGTATGATAAACAAATGATAAATAGAAAAAATTTTATAATTTATTTAACAAGTATGTATAATTAAAAAAAGTCTGGAAAAATGAAGATTTAGAACTGCGAATCTTGCTCTCGATTGCAACATATTTTGATATATAATTTTTATGACATAATATATATATATATATATATATATATATATATATATATATATATATATATATATATATATATATATATATATATATATATATATATATATATATATATATATATATATATATATATATATATATATATATATATATATCAATAGCCCTATCACTACTCATTTATAAAATCAATCAAGTACGTAAGTTGCAATAGTCTTTCATAAAAAACGGATTTCAGTTTCAATTGCAGATAAATTTAAAAAGTAGTTTTCAAAGAACTTCTTAAAACAGCTTAAGAGGCGTGTCAAAAGTTTTAAAATTATTTTCTTTTATTTTTGACTATAATTTCGACGGTGTTTAAGCAAAGTAGACTAAACCTCAAAATTTTTTATTTTGTTTTGTCTACCAATAATCTGCCCCTTTGCTAGGCTATTTGTTAACAAGATAGTCTGGTTGTTAACAAGATAGTCTGGTTGTTAACAAGATAGTCTGGTTGTTAACAAGATAGTCTGGTTGTTAACAAGATAGTCTGGTTGTGTGTATATGCTACATAATACTTTTTTTATGGGAAATTGTAGTAATGATAATGCACTAATTTTTGACTTTGTATGCTTTTTACTTTATCAACTTTAGTTTAAAAATAAATAGTAATTAAAATTTAACACTTTATTTAATAAAGTTTAACATAAAAATTATAAATTTGTCTTATAGTTAAATGTGTTTTTTTAATTTCATTTACTTTGTTTTTTATTCATACATGGAAAATTTGACGTTACTGTTTTAGTATTGATTCATACATTTTTTTTTTGTTTGTTTTTATAAAGAATATTTTTACTTATTGCTTACTTTATTGTATATATTGAATACTTTTATTTAATAAAATCTTCTTATAAAGAATTATTTTTTCATAAAGATTTTTTTTTAATAATAAATATTTAATTATTTTATTAGTTTCGTAAGGTAGTTTCGATATTTAATTTAGCTTCGACGTTTAATTCTATAATTTTTATTTAGTTTCGATAGCAAGTTGTTTTTAGCCCCTCTTCTTTGCATTTATACCTGATAGCAATAGATAATCATACATTTTGATAAAATAAATTCAAAAAATAATTATAAATTTAAAAAATAATTAAACAGTGACAGTATTTATTGTTCTATCCGGGAGTAGAAATATTAAAGCACACGAATAGTTAGAAAAGAGTTTCTTTTAAAAAATAAAGATTTTGATATAGAGAATAAAGTTTTATTTTTCTTTTAATTCCACGTCGTATAGTCATTTATCTGTCTTTTTCGCTATTGGTTGTAACTAAGGTTGCAGCTACTATTAGTGTATAATTCATTTTTCAAATACCGTGTTTTAAAATGTTTGCAATCGAAACATTTCTACTCTTAAAACCCACTTTATTTATTATTATAAAATCATACTAGCACTTGTTGAACTCGGGTTTTTCGATTGCATGTGGTGGTTTAAAATTTGCGGCTTTTTTTGTGTAAGATTATGTGTAGTCTAAGGCGACACCTTCAACTGCACGATAGACGTCATTTTTGTCACTAAAGACAAAAAATGACTTCCAACGTGACTAAAAATAAAACAATGACTACTCATTCAATGAAATATTGTTATTACCAGGTTTTATATTAAAGCAATTTATATTCTCATTGACCCCAAACGTGTAGGCAAAGTCAAATTGTTTGTGTATTTTTAATACCAGGCTTTGATCATCGCAACTTTTTTTTTGCATACGATTCTCACTTCGCATACGCATAATCATATTAATATTGGAATATATATATATATATATATATATATATATAATATATATATATATATATATATATATATATATATATATATATATATATATATATATATATATATATTATGTCATAAAAATTATATATCAAAATATGTTGCAATCGAGAGCAAGATTCGCAGTTCTAAATCTTCATTTTTCCAGACTTTTTTTAATTATACATACTTGTTAAATAAATTATAAAATTTTTTCTATTTATCATTTGTTTATCATACATATAAATTCCGCGGTTAGCGAAATACGTTTTTAATAATAATTAGAACTTTAATAATTTTTAGAAACTTTATAACTCTTAGAAACTAAATAATTCTTAGAAATCTAATAATTCTTAGAAACACGCTCTTACAAAACATGTAAGAGCTGAGTTTCTAGAAAAATAACAGCTGCTGACACCTGAGTTGGTGTTTACTTGAAGCTTTATTGTTTTATTTTAAAATATATTTATAATAAATTAGATAAATTAATAACCAAAAAAAAAAAAAACATAAAAAAAAACGAAGCAGACGCGCAATATGAACAAACAAGTCAATGTTTGGGGGAGTGGGTGAGCAAATCACAGTTTGTGAGAATGAGCAAACAAGTCTTACCTATATAATAGATTGAAAATCACTGAATATCATCGCAATAGTTTGAAAACCTCTAAACAAGGTCGCAATAGAAAAACTCTAAATTAAGATTGCAAAATGATAAAAACATTGTTTTTTTTCTCATTAATGGCTACCATAATTACAACGGCTTCAGGTACTTATTTAGCGTAACGTCGCGTATGTAATTTTAAACAAGCAACTGAATAATGTAAAAAAAGTAAAAACTAAACCAAACTGTTCATGTATTTTTTATTTAGCTTGCTCAGACTATTCACAGCAATGGTGTCAAGCAAATCAAGCATTGTGCACGCAGCCCTCATTGATTGCATTCATGAGTCAATATTGCGAACAAACATGCAACTACTGTAATTAAGTTTTACCCTTTAAACTTTTATCGTGAAATTTTGATTTAAAATTGTCGAATGTAAAGAAAACATAAATAACAATATAACTCTATAGACACTGAAACTTTTCTAATTTATAATTTAGGTTCAATACCTGGTGTTCTTCCAGTAGGTAGGTCATTTTGTTTTCATCAACTAACAATAGCTAACAGTACCAAGCTAAAACCAGTGACAAATTTAACCGTTAACGAATTAAACAAAATATTAAAGCCGGCTTCAATGTTACTTTTTTTAGCCAGAAAAATTACTTTTTGGCTTTGACATTTTTTGACAATTGTTGTTATACACAATTTATAAACAAAATGACAGTTTTGTACGAAAAAAAATAATTAGTACAATGTCGATAAAGTTATTGAATGTATGTAATACTTGCGGAACTTAACGGAACAGTCATTAACGCCGCATTAATGTTGCGTTACTGAAAAACTTTTTTTTCTCTATATCAAAATATTTACAGAGTACCATTTTTTTGATGATTAAAAGTGTTATAGATTAAATATTAAAGAAAAAAGCATAGTTATAATTAGTCATAAAAACATTATTGGTTTAATGTAGTATTATGACATACAACTAATATCAGAGAAAAAAATAACGCTTTCATCGCATGGGTTCCATATGAGTTTTGTGTAGATACATGGAAACCCACATGGAACCCATGTGGGACAAGCGCTTTTTTTCACTGGTATAATGGACAAATTACATGGACAAACATTATCTATACTTTTTCATCCACGTTATATGTTGAAGCGTTACTTTTTATAGTTAACATGAAAATATTTAAAAAACGTTCTTTATTTTGCTGAAAATTGTTTTAATGCAACAAGTTTAGTTAAAGCCATTTTCTTAGGGTGCGGAAAACAATCAATTCAAAGTAGTCGTGTAATTGCAGGAACAACTCCAACAAAAGGCTCGTGGCCTTGGCAAGTATTGCTTTGGCAGGGTGGAAAAGCGTTTTGTGGAGGAACACTCATTCACAGAGAATGGGTTCTTACTGTTGCTCATTGTATACACGGAAAAGAATTCGACGCGTCGCAAATATATACAAGGTGAGAGAAGTTCTGTTGTTTTTTTTTAATGCTTCTTCTTACAATATCTCTTTATTTATTTATTTATTTTTTTTGTTAATAAATAAATAGTAACAATAACAACGTTGTTTTGCTGCTGTTGCTGTTTATTTATTGTAGTAATTTATTTGATACATTTGCTCATTGCTTATTAATAAGCAATTGAGTTAATTAACTCAAATATGGTTAACTCAAAGCTGTTACTTACTCATGATTGATGGAATAAATAATAAACTTAGAGTGTAATCAGTTGATTTTTAGCAGACTTACATGCAAAATCTCGATAGACAAGCAACAGTATGTTAGAGGAAAATATAATTTTACTTAAAAACTTTTTATTAACATAAACTGCAAATTTTGTTTCAATATTTCGGCTTGCATCAAGTCGAGTGCAGCGATATGCTTTTTTTTTAAAATTTTTAACACGGCCAGAAAACTAATAGCGAAGTTAACGACAAGCCTTTTTTCAAATACAGCTGAAAAATAAAGTTTCGTAAAATACAGGTGAAAAAAAATCAAGATCTAATTCTAAAAATCTAGCAATCAAGTTATGGAAAAGTGTTTGATCATGGTATGGCGTCTTTAACAGTCATTTTTGTTGAATAAATTT